AGTAAAACCTGTTTTTTTTTTTTTTTTCAAACAAGCTGCAGTCACTGTCTTGAAAACTGATTGTTTCGTCAAGCAATACTCCGAGGAGAGTGTTGCGTGACGAGATAAATCTAGTAATATCAGCGTTCGAGCCCGAAAGCAGATGAGCCCACAACTATTGGCTGGCCTAAACAGCGGGTGGGCGGGGTCACTTTTGCTCCCTGTTTTAACTTTTTGTGGCTGATGTGTACTTTTAAGTGATATATTTTAGCCCTTTTAAACAACCAATCACTTAATAAGCAAAGATACTTTACAAAATATCTTACAAAGAACTACTGTACTACTATATACAAAATGTTTATAACAATAAATACAGCCATTGAATGTCTACAAGATCACTAAATATTTGTACATATCCTTGGAATTACTTCTGAACCTTTTGAAAAAGCCTTCAAATAAATACAACAAATTAATTTAATAAGTTTCTAATTAATACATGTATCTCTATAACTTACATAGCACGTCTAAATAAATTGATAATTAAATAATGATTCGTGGCTGTGTTTTGACCAAATTAGACTTCCTAGATATAATCACACTTGATGAAATATTTTTATGAAAAGAACACACAGGTACTGTTCACTGTGAACGAAAGTTTCACTAAATTGAATAACTATCAGCTAAGATTTCATCCGTTCTAGGCGCGTGTTCAGTATAGAGGCAAAACCTTTGAAGCATCTTGTGTGCCTTACAAAAATTTAAATGGTCAAGTCGGCAACAATGGAGCCGAAACTAATTGTAGAATTGCGAACATTTTAGGCATCCTACTAGGCTGATTTAGCAACAGGACGGAAACGTCAGTTGACGACGGGAAAGCGCGCGGAAAGGACCAAACACGACTTCCGGTGCTTAATTTGCCGCTCTGCCATTGGTCAAGGCAGTTGTCTGATTTGCGCGCGCCGTCGTCAACTGACGTTCCCGTTCTGTTTCTAAATCAGCCTACTGGTGAACAATTACGACCTTCCAGAGATACTCCGAGCAACAACGGTTTGCCCTCTTGCCCCTTCGAATACGCGAAACGAAATACTTTATTCTGATGTTGTCACAGCAAGATTGTAAGAAACGTCGTTCAAAAAGGGGGTGCAAACAGGTGGTCTAAAATTCAGGGTCCTTAATGGCGTCATACTGAATACCTAAAATTAGTCCTAAATGTAGAGGGGCTATTGAAAATATAATTTTCCTGCTTCATCAATTTTTTTTAACAAAAGATACAATAATGTATCGAGATCATTTAGCATTTTCAACATGAAAAGTTTCCTTTGTGTGCATCATAATTCAGATGCCACTGATATAATAAGAACATTACATATTCTACATTCAAACTTCACACAAGAAATCCCTTTGTTGCTTCCATGCTGACAGAGGCCCGCCTCATGTCCCAAAGAGGAAAAAGAGGCCTCTGCAAGCAGGTAACTTTGCTGCATTCTTTACTTCTCTTTTCCAAGAGAACAACGCTAGATTTCCTTCTGGTCCACTAACGGATCTTCTGCTGGTGTAAGGAGATTGTTCTCTTCCAAAATCTGATCAATGTCATCACCTGGTGTACAAACATAGTCTCTCAACATGTGCACTTGATATAATGAAAAGACCACTGGATCAATGGGATTCAAAAAACGAAAACTAACAATGCATCTGTTACTTGAACCAATAGAGTGTCCTTCGCTGCCTAAACACTTTATGCCTTTATGCCGTTAAGGAAAATCCCAGATGATCGGGGATTTTATAGTTTCCCAATTGCTCCAGATTTTGTAGGCTTGAGCACGACGATTTTGCCCACTAACGAGAAGACAACCCCAATCATCTGGCCAGAAAGGAGTCAAAGAAATTTGGAACTTTTTCAATTTTGTCCAGCAACCTGTTTCACGTTTGCGCGATGGTCACCAATAAATAAATTTTGACCAATGGGAATGATAGCAATCAGTCAGCAAAAGTTTAAGCTAGATACCAGTCCTCTATTGACCTTACTTCAGTTCCTACCCCTCCCTCCCGTCCCCTGCCCAACATCACAAATCGACATGACTGCTGGGATAGATTCTGGAATTTTTCCTAGTCATGATATATTGGTGAAATCTATCGAATGGTTGGGAAACATACATTTCTAAACACAAGAATTTTTATAAATAAAGACTATTATCTTTGATGATAACTTCCTTCATTTTCATGATATTTACCCTTCATTATAAAGTGACGATGAAGGATTAATCGACTTAGAGGGGTAAAGCAATAATTTCAACTTGAAGATAACTACCAGAAATAAATGTTTTCCACAAAAAGGCTTGTTATTTGTGATGTAAAACAAAATAAATTCCCCATAAAAGTAAAAAGAGTGCTAAGTTTTCTTACTGATAACCTGTCTGTGAAAGTACCCGGCACTCATGCATAGGATTTCAAACTAGAAAATTGAACTTACTTGAAAAATATTTTTGAAGGACATCTAAGACATCTTGTCTTTTCATGGCTACAAGGGCTAGTACAAGTTCTTCAAATGTCAAATCAGGCTCGCACTTCTCAATGCTTTTGAACAACAATTTGGTCGGACTGTTATTGTCTTCTGCTGGTTCAAAGATCTTGCATTTTTCAGGTGGAATATTGAGTGCCCTCGCAAGGTGTCTCCAATGATGGGTAGAGTCATCATTCAACATGTCGGTTATTCGATCAAGTAGATCTGAATCATCGAGAATGTCTTTGACAGGCTCATCTCCTTCAAATGCAAAACAAACAGTCAGCAAAAAGGAATCCTTAAAGATTCCTTAATTTCCATTACCTGAAAACAATCTCATGCCGGTTAGTAACGTCTTTGAAGTAGACTGAATCCGATACCCTTGTTCTGGACACCAAACGGAAATGTGTATTGAATTTCCCTTAAACCAGATTGGCAAATTGACACTGGCTTTTTCTAAAGGCCAATCATTGCACGTACTCAAACCCTGGTACACAGGTAGGGGCCCAAAACAAGGATTTTAGTACTGTTTGGCAGATGGACCGAGAGAATTTTAGTTCTGTCTGTGGTGCAGGCTCACACATAAGTCAAAAGCAATGACTAGAATTGATTTGTTTTGTCCTATTCAATATGAAACAAAAGTTTACTAGTCTTGTTTGAAGTACCTGGTATGCTGGCTTTTTCTAAAACCGTAACAGCATCTTGTCTGCCAATTGAGGTGAGACAGCCTTTAAGGTGATCCAGTGTCACATCTGGATCAAATATTGGAATATACTTGAACAACATTAAGGCTGGATTATGCCCCTGATGAGACCCAAAGTTCCTCAGCACACGGGGTGGTACACGCAGTTGAAGTGCAAGATCTTTCCAGTTGTTTGTCTTCGTTCTGTCAAGTTTCATTGCCATGCGGCCCAGAATACCAGTGTCATCTCTCTCAACCAGATTGCCAAGAATACTTTCTTCTCTGATGAGACCACCTAGCAATAAAAGTATCATCACCTTTGTTACACTAACAAAAAGTAACAAATTGATTGAATAAGTCAACTCCTGACACACAAAAAATGTGTTTGAAAATGTTTCTTAAAGCGTAATAGATGTCCTTTTAACATGTTTAACATAAGCTTCCAATTAAGGTATCAGCCACTGTCAGTTAACTGTAGGCCATCACAAAAAAAGATTAAATTAGCGTAAAATGGTTTTATGAAACAAGGCCCACTCACTTAGCCAGTAATCAGAAGCCAAAGAGAAAATGGGCCCTTCGCAGAACTTTGTAAAGTGCTTGGATACCAGTTAGCAATGGCTCACAAAGCTTTGAGTACAATCAGGCGAAGCCTTTCGATGCTAATTCAAACGCCTTGTAAGTCTTCAACAGAATAATTAAACTAGGAATACTTCTATGGATGACACTCAAAGCTTTGCAATCTGAGTGAACACTTACATGGCTTGCCATCCACTGTTGCCGACCGGTATCCAAGCATGTGACAAAAAATATTGTTCTGTAAAGGGCCTAATTAGTTGTATCAAGAGCCTTATAACAAATACGTGTATATTCTTATACTGCGTCAGTAAGAATGTTTGCCCGGCCACCCTGTGGTGGATCAAGGGGAATGGGGTCCAGACTATTCCCAAATGAAGCCATCAGGCCAAAAAATATTTTTATTTCATGGCCAAGTGAAGACCCACATGCCTCAAAA